ACCTTCACAGGCCAAGCCAGGGAGGGAAACACAATGCCTGCACCTGGACTGAAGCCTTAACCCGCAGAGCACACAAACTTCAAACACCTGCCCACTGCCTCGGCTTACCCCTCGTAAGCCACACCTGCCCGCCGCTGGCTACAGCTTTCTGGTGATTTTCTAGAATCCCTGAGTCTTTTCCCTCACAAGCTCTGTGGTTTGCAGCGCTCACTTTGCACAGCAAGGTGATGCCTGAAAATGCTGTGCGGGGTGGCGGCGCAGCTCAGCGCCTGCCTCCATCCCCGCTACCCCCAAAGTTCTGCTAGTGTGTGCTGAAAAGACGGAGCACTGCAGGGTAAGAGAAAGGAAACCAAACAGGATCAGCATGGCAAATTGTAAATTTGACCGAGTAACTCTACCAAACTCAAGGCAATTATTTAGCTTAGAATTACATCATGCAGATTATGGGGCCAAAGAGGAAAGTGATCGATGACATAGAGTGGGCCTAAGGAGAGTCACATGGGGAGAAGACACTCTCTCAGGCTTTCACAGAGAGCACATTGGCCAAGCAATGGCCATGACTCATCCACATGGCTGCACTGACAAAGGTTCTACAATCTGAGGTACAGGATCTCAGGACAAATCCTGAGGGGATTTCACTGACCTTCTCAGACCAAAAAGCTACAACTCTTGTTGCACAGGTCCTGCTTTAGTTGGTCTTAACCATCCAGTAGAAAAGTATGAAGACGAAATATAAGAAATAAAGCCATGCTGTTAAGTTGAGCTGTGGGGGACTCAGGTCAATAATTTCTGACATTGCCAGTTAAACAGAAGACCCAATACTATTATGGGCTACTGGACTCTTTTAGAATATTTTGCTGAGTTTACACACCTATAATATTCAATAACGGAACTTAGAAAAAATGGGGTATACCGATGAATGTCCATTTTGCATCTGTGTATTCCAAGTGGTTAGGATAGATATATAGTTGCATTCTCTTAATGAATAGAATGATTTGTTCTAATGGTGTTTGTAAATAGGATCACAAGTCCGCATCTTGTACAGCAATTAACCACTAAGAAGAATATAAGCAGTGTATTACTTGTTGAAACTGTACTTCTGATTTGATTTGAAACTGTCTCATTGCTATCTGTTTATCAATAAAACTTTGAAAAAAAAAAAAAAGAATTACATCATGCTCTGAGATTTCTCGATTGACAGAAAGTCATTATCCCAGTATCAAGAGTCAGGAAGGAGGGCCAGCCAAGTAGCTCAGAGGATTAAAGCACCTGCATGCAGGCGTAGGGGCCTGGGGGTTCAATCCCTGAGCCTGATGAGTCCTGTCTATGTAGTGAGACCCTGTAGACCCTGTCCTTCCTCAGGAAGGAAAGGCAGATCAATAAATTAATACTTGCAAAGTTTCATAGGTCTAGAAATAAACTCATGCCTCTTCTATGAGCACTTTGAAATTTTTTAAAAGATTTATTTATTTGGTACAGGGTCTTGCTGCACAGGCCAGACTCCAAGTGATCCTCCTGCCTCAGCTTCCCCAGTGCTGGGATTACAGGCATACACTACCATGCCTGGTTTTGGTGGCCTGCTTTGCACAAGGTCAGCATGGCATCAGGTACCAAGGATTGGATTAAGCCTGGGTCCTTGGGCTTGTCAGGCAGGCGCTTAGACCACTAAGCTATCTCCCTGGCCCAGGAGCACTTTATTTGAATAATGTTAGACTACTGGACATCTGAGTGACATTTTTAATCCTTTGAATAATCACTATTCGCTTGAGAACCAAAGCCTGTCTGGGTTCCAATCCAGTGCCAAAGGTTTGACAGCAGCCCTGCACAAGAGGCTCAGTGAGGTCTTTGTTTTGTGGGAAGTGGGGACTACACGGCTTTTCCAGAACTGTTGTCCTTTCCCCACCCACACCAGCAGCTTTAGCCCTCAGGAATGTCTTGCTACTTAAGACCAAACTGGCAGCAGAGATCGCATGGAGAATCTATGAAAGACACTGTAGGGTGCTGTCCTTTACGAAAACTCTTAGTCGCCACTTTTTTTTTTTTTTTTTTTTTTTTTTTTTTTTTTCTTTTTAATGTACTTAGGACAGGGTCTCACTATGTAGATCAGACTTGTAGTGATTCTGTTTTCAGCTTCCCAAGCACTGGGATTACAGGCGTGCACCACCACGCCCGGTCTCAATCACTGTCTCAGCATGCCCCGGGGACGGGTCTGGCACGCCTCGCTGGGGATCGAACCCTGGCTACTACTCTCTGCCTTAGCAGGTGCTTTAGTCTACTGAGTTATCTGGCCAGCCCTTCAGGCCCCACTTTGAGGACCATTAAAGGAGAGTCCCCTGAGGCCCTTGGGGGCCTGGCAGTGAATGGAGTGGGACTGATAAAGGACTGGTGACAAAAAACTGAAGCACCAGCCTGGAAGCCCATCATGAATGAACTCATACACACTTTGTGAAAGGTAAATATATTCATTTTTATTTCTAAGACAGAATTAGGTTTGAAATGCCAAACACACACACACACACACACACACACACACACACACACACGTGTGTGTGCAGGTACACACAAATGGTTCAACCTACAGGAATATTTCTCCTGTTTCACAAACAAGGAAACTAAGATCCTAAAAGGTAAATTGGTTTACTCAAGGTCTAAAATAAAATAATAAATACATCAGCTAGCTCTCTTACCTTCTGTTCTCCATCTTTAGGAAACCCACCGTGAATAAACTGCCCCTGTATATTCAGTGTTTTTCCTGCCGGCCCACCCTGCGCTCCTACCCACACCCCTACCCCTGAAGTTGGACATAACCTGTCCCCAAGCAGCAGGATGTGCACAGAGGGAGAAATGAGGGAACCAAGCACCACAGCAAATTTTGTTCCCTCTTTTACAGGGAGTAAAAGAGACCCAGCTTCCATGGAGGGCACAGCAGGCTGTATAGTTCTATTCCAGATCTTGATGAGGAGACGGGGGCAGAGTTCTGCAGGTCCCAGGCAGGTGCACAGGTATGCAGAGCAATCTTGTTATGCCAGATGTCATTCTTGCTGAGTGTGCTGTGAGGTATCACTCCCAGCAGGAGGAGGAAGATGTCCTCTGTGGAAAGAGGGCAGTCACCTCACTCCAGCCGTTCCTCTCACACGCTACTTCTCCTGGAGCTCATCTGTCCCTCAGGACGCAGGACAGGCACCTGGGCAGAGGGGTTGGAACACCACTGGATCATAAGAGCTGGCATTCGACAACTTACTTCCAGCCATGCCCCTCATGATCTAGGGCTCTCGTGAGTCCTTGAATCCTGAAACCCAGGAAGGTCATGCAGGCTTCACCCCGCACCTAGGGAAGAGGCTCTGGGCATGGTAGGGATCTGTCTGTCCTTGAGCTCTGCTGCTCTGTCCCCTCTGCTTCCCCATGCTGCCCTTGGCCCTGAGCTGGTGCCCACAGCCCCTCTTCCTCCCCCTGGACTGGACATGGTCTCCAGAACAACTCTGCTCTGAACGCACAGCCTCACAGCGTACACTGGGGCGGCTGCTCATTCACCCTCTCCTCATCATTGTAGAGAGATCCTACATCATCTTACATGAATTTCAGACTTGAATAAGTGGATGAAGGTCCCCTGGGATGCGGGAGCCTTTCTGGTATCCCTGACCACCCTGAGGGATGCAGCCTGAGTCTCTGAAGGGTCAGCTTCTTATGAGCAGCAGTAGCCTCCCCAGGAATGAGGACCCCGCCCCATGATGGGACAGCCTGTCCCTGTATTCTGATGCGTGTGGGGTCCCCTGCCCGGTCTTTCATGATCCTGGCTATTAGTATAGAGCCTTCTGACAGTCCTCTGGGTGTCCAGATATAAAACCGTCTGCCCCAATTGCTGAGGAAAATTCAGTAGGAAAATGGGCCTATGGAGCCCCTGATGTCACAAAGAAATCGTGGCTCACCACCCACCTGGGGGTTCCAGAGCAGAAGCTGAAGGAGACGAGCACAGAGAGGACCCTGCTGGAAATTCATCCCCTTCCCCCTCTCTCTGGGACTCCTCCAACCTATTGTTTATCAGCCTCTGCAATGCCAGGTGTAGTGCTGTCCCTGATCTTGGCTTCTGCTGGTTTTCTCCAGTTGCTGACCACGCTTGCCTATACATTCCCAACCGCTGAAAAGACGGCCTCCACCATGCATCTTTCTAGAGCAGCAGGATAAGGCTTCCCAGGGGTAGCACAGGCCACCTGGCACCGTGTGATCACCCTGAAGCAGACTGTTGTCGAATGAGGCCTTGGTAGAAAAGCTGTATCAGATTGTTTGGCCCCCTTGCCCAATACTGAGCCTGATGCAGAAAGGGGCAGAATATAGAAGACGACATTTATGTATCCCATGTGGAAAAGCCATGATAGCCTCTAGGTGAACTTTGTCCATGCCTGCTTGTTCCTGCCCACATTCACTGCCACCTCGAAGGCTTCTGGTTGCCAGTCAGTGGCTCAGTCTCCCCTCCACGGCTGCCTAACAGCTGCTGCCCTCTGGTCTCAGGGTTGGGGTGTAAGTGGGTACCGACACTTCCTCAGGAGTGATCATCCTGACCCCCATTTCCTTAGGGAGAGACAGGCCTATTGCTTTGTCATTCAGTCAATCAAGATTCCTTCTCCATGATGGGACTATTGAATGTCCCACTGGCTCACAAGTTAGAATTAATGCACGTGAGCAGGGCGGACCGCGGTGTGCCCCACCCATCCTCCCACAGAGGGTGGAAAGTGCAGGGGCGTTTACGTCTGCCCACGCAAGCTCAGGAGGCAGGTCTTGGGGCAAATGCACACAGACTCATTTGGGTGCTGGGCACGCATTTCTGCTTCCTTCAAGGTGAGATCCGTGTCCCCTCCATCCCCACCATAGCTCAGGTGGCCGCAGTAGAGCACTCTCGGGGCCTTGAGTGGCTGAGTACAACCCACCAGTGAAGCTTCTCCTTGAGTTTTGAATACTTACATTTTGTCCTCAAAGATTCATTAACTTAGATCCATTGGTTAAATTTAATGGCGCATTCTAAATGGGGAAGAATATCAGAGAACACGATGAGTAATGGTATTGACAGAAAAGAATGTGTACTTATGTATACCCTGCCCAGAGATAAACAGAGGGAAATAAAGATATAAAGAGAAGCACCCACACTGACAGTGGCTACAAAAACTATCCCATTTCACTAAATACAACCTTGTAAGCTACATGCTTCTGTGTATATTTTGCTTCAAAATATAAAAAAGAAGCAAAGCATGCCAGTTAGGCCAGGATAACAGTTCATTGATTTAAGATATGTTTCAATTTTAAAAATGTTAAAATGTGGGGTGGGGAGATGGCTCAGTGGAATAAGTGCTTCCCTGGCAAGTGCAAGGGCCTGAGTTTAATCCCCAGTTCCAAAAAAAAAAAAAAAAAAAAAAAAAAAAAAAGCTAAAATGTGAAGAAAACACCTAGGTTAATATTAATGACCTATGGTGCTGAAAGTCACGTTGACTCCTAGCTAACCAAGAATGGTGGTTCTCAGTGTATCCAGACAGTCTGTTTCCAAGGAAGAAGTTCTTATGAGACTCTATTTGGTTGAAAAAATAACTGCTAATTAATACAGAAATGTAGGCAATTTTGGTGATTGCTTAAAAGACAAGTCACCAGGTCAAAAGTCTCTTCAAGATTTATAAATACATGGATTTTACAAAGCAAAAGAAGTGCACTCTGTTGGAAAGTTTTGCACGAGGAGGATGAGAAGGCTTTCGGTGACAGTTGATTCTTGCTCTGATTCTGTCCCGGATGAGCTGGTTGACCTTGAGCACATCCTATGGGTAACCTTGGGCACATCCTACAGGTGCCATGGGCCTTAACTTCCTTTCCCTGTAGAGTCAGTGGATTGGACCAGATTTCCTTTCAAACCCAGCAGTCATTTCCCAGCTCTCTCTTTTATAAATCTATGGTCCTAAATTCAAGTGTTCCCATCTCAGTAGGTCCAAATGTCAAGTTCAAATAAACTCAATATGCACAATTCCACAAAGAGTATACTCAGAGGGCTCTCCATCTCAGCAGGGTATTTTACATTTATAAAATTCAGAAAAGAATGAGCGAAGTGTGCCCTGTTGATTCTGCTGAATCCCAGGTACTAAGTGACAGTACAGCTAGACCCCCAGGGCTGTGCCCGAGAACAGTGCCTACCTCTGCTGCCCTGCACTCCCCCTCAGTGAAGAAACACGCATCCTCAAGGCATGTCTGATCTGAAAAGCAGTGACAGAGAGCACGCTGTTACAGACCTCTCTAGAGTTCCCCAGGCTCAGACTCATATCCTGAGCCCTTGAGATGTCAGAGGGCGAAGCATATACCTAGCAAACAGTGAGCCCTGAGCCCAAGTTAGGGCGCCATGAGAGCAAGAGTTAGCATTCAGATGGGAACTGGCGCCACAGTTCTGTCCTTTTCCCCAACACAACTCACACAGCCCCAGCAAACTTGATGAGGAACCAAACACAGGCGAGTGGAACTGTCCCCTTTACTCCTCACACCAGGGGTGCTGATCTGCCCTCATAAACCCAACTGCCCTGGACCACGCTCTCACAGCCAAACTGCCTCATCCTCCTGCCTCCTTCTGGCCACGTGCATCAGATGAACCCAAATCAAATTACCTTGTGGTCCATGATGGTTCCAAACAGCAAGATGAAGAAACCCTGGAGTAAAACACAACAGAATAGTGAGGGAGAGCTTTGCAACCCGTATCCCAGCTGTTACTTGAACACCGGGCTTGCAGAGAATTTCTAGGGAATTGATGTCAAGTTAGACATCAGACGCCTGTGTGCATGGATGCAGAGGGGAGTTTCCTTGGAATCACCCTTCTCCCAAGGGGAGGGTCACGCTCACAGGAGCGCGCACAAGGAGTTCTGGTGTTCATTGATGTAGGATCGAGTTTTCAACCTTATGAAATCCTTTTACATTCTTCCCAAATGTTGAAGTAGCTGTTCCTACTCAGGATGACAGAGATAGATAATACAGAGGCTTGTAATTCAAAATCACAAGCATGGAAGTTATCTTAAGAATGAAGCTGGAGGGGATAGGGGAGATGGCTCAGTGGAATAAGCACTTCCCTGGCAAGCACAAGGGCCTGAGTTCAATCTTCTGGAAAAAAAAAAAAAAAAAAAAAAATGAAGCTGGGCCAGCCAGATAGCTCAGTAGACAAAATCAGAAAGACAATGAAGTCATTAGTCACTAGAGTAACTTTAAGAGTGAAAAGTACCAGGGGTATAGCTCAGTGGTATAAGCACCTGCCTGGCAAGCACAAGGTCCCAAGTTCAATCCCTGGTACTACAAAGAACAAAATAAATAAATAAACTGACATCATCAAAGGTTTCTCTTTAAGGCAATGAAAAAGGAAGAGAAAAGCCAATGTGCCTTATAGTTAGGAAAACATCATCAGTAAAATCTCAGATAAAGTCCATTTTATCTTCCATATCTTATCTTCAGGAAGAGCAATAGTGACATGTTAATAAAGATATTCTGCGGCTTTATCAAGGAGGACATGTATATAATTTAAGGCAGTGGTTAGAATTTTTTTCTGGAAAGAGGCAGACAGTAAATATCTTACTGTCTTTGTGGTTGTACCGTCTGCCGCAGTGACTCCAGTGGGTCGTGGTAGCTCAGCAGCAGACGGGGGAGATGCAGGGAAATGAGCACCTCTGTGTCCAGTCAATGCTTATTTACAAAAACAGGAGGCAGGTCACAGTTTGCCAGTCTCTGATTAAAAGCACAGCTAAGACTGTGGCCCTGCCAGATGTTCTGTTACTCATAGGCACAGAAAACAATTTAGCTAATGATAGCTTTTCCGGAGTACAAGTTTAGTAGCAAGAGGCAGTAAAACAACTCCGAGAGACAATCTCACCAGACCGAGTAAGTGAGAGCCGCGAAGCACGACAGAGATCATTTTAGATTCGTATCTTTAATGTACAAATGAGAAGCTTGGGGCCAGAGAAACTAACCTTTGTAAGAGCAGGGAGCAGATGACAAGGTCTTTTTCTTTTCTTTTTTCTTTTTGGCCAGCTCAGCCTGCCCTGAGGGCGGGGCTGTTGTGGCATGTGGTGCCGGGGATCTAACTGTGGTCCCCTGCACCGGCCTAAACTTGCCTAAGAAGACGCTTTAGAGCCCTGAGCTATCCCACCAGCCCCCAACAAAGGTTTTTTTCTTTTTCTTTTTTTTCTTTTCAAAGGTCTTTTTCTATCAATAACAAATTACAAGTATTTCACAGAGCATAGCAGAGAAAATGCATGAGAATTCCCAACTGGTTAATATCCGAAGTGATTGCCAACAGACCTCTCCTCATGCTACAGAAAATGGGCTATTTCACCTCGGGACCAGGCCACTGATAAAAGAGAAAACTGTGCTTCTTTTGAAGCAAGACACCAGAGTAGCTTCAAGCATTGCTGATCAGTGAAGCGTCCACTAAAAGAGAAGGTCCTCTTCTGACACTTACAGTTTGGAGGGAAACAGACAGACTGGGGAGGAGAGAAGAAACGAGAGTGCCCCCCAACAGGCCTGATGGGCCAAATCCAACTTGACAGTCAACAGGGTGAGAAGCTTCAGTTACAAGAGGGAACAGAAGGAACTTTTTGTGTTCTATGACTGTAAGTGGTGGCGGGTTTTGTTGTATGCAGAATGATACCTAGGGCTTACCTGGAAAGCGTTGAGCAAAGCAAAAATGATGTGGAAAATCACAGACGTGCCTTCGATAAGCGTAGCGATCCCAAACCCCCAAGTCAGCCCCAGAAGCGGGGTGAGGATTACGACATTTTTGCTGATCCTCATAATAATGGCCACATCCTGGGAGTTGGAACTGCCGATAAAAGGCCTCTGGGTATTGAAAGCAACAACAATGACCACAGCGAGATTGATGGCTACGATGACCAAGGCTGGGATCGCAAATGCAAACAGGGCTTTGCTCACATCCCAGTTCAGCCAGCACACGTCCTGTCTCATGTAGCTTTTTGCTGGCTCTGTGATGGCTACCGTGGTGGCTGCGATGACCAAGGGGCACCCGTAGCCAACAGCAAAGCCAATGGCTATCATACGGGACTTCATCATTCTCCGGAAAACCACCAGTATCCCATAGAGGATGAGCAGTGCCTTGAAGAGCATCCAGAAGAACAGAGAGAGGTAGAGAAAGTGGCTGAAGAAGGTCACAGCCACACACCAGTTATAGCTCTTGTCCTTGATGTCAAAGTTGGAGCCAATGATGAACCACAGGTTGGCAGCCAGAAGGGACATGGCTATGTTCACGAGGCACACGTGCCGCATGTGTGACATCTCTGTCACAGCTACCCGGGGCCAAACCATGGCTTCAATGATCAGGCAGAGAAGCAGGCTGAGGATGGAGATGCTGAGCCCTACACAAGTGACATAGTCCAGGACTCTGTCCTCCATTAACCGTGGAGACATCAGAATGGAAAATGACTTCATTGTGCTGGTGCAGTTACAGCGGCATTGCACCACACTCCTGGCATCTAACGTGGTCTTACACACTGTCGTATCCCACACACTTTTCCTGGAGTGCCAGCCGACACACTGTGCTCTGGCATTCTGAGATTTGTTGATTTTCTCAAAGGTGAGGAAGATTTCTCTCAGCCTTTCTGGCAACATGACTGACAGAACCAGACCATTGGGGATTCTGGACAGACTCCCATTGGGTGAACGGGTCTCTTTCAGAATGGCTCCCAGCGTGGGGAAGGCTATACCGATGGCTTGGGACACATTTGTCAGTTTCTGAAGCTCCTGCTGGGGAATTTCTACCATTCCTGAGATCCCTTCTGTGCTATTATTCATGCTGATGGAGAAATGGAGACGCCTCCCCGAGGTGTTGTGATGGATGGGAAAGGCTTTGGTCTGAATGAAGAGCTCATCCACAATGGCCTCAGACTCATTGTGGATGTGGAGCTGCCTGGCAAAGGAGTTCACCGAGTGCAATAAGTCTGAGCTGGCTTTCCTGTCAGGAACAAAAGTCCAATTCGAAAGAGCTGCTGGATGGAGGATGTGGTTGGCCACTTTACTGTAGCTCTGCAAGGGACAGAAGTTCAGGATGGCACAAAATCAATTTCTAAAATCAGAATTTCTGAGGAGCTCATCATCTGATCCTACCTCAGCCTTCCCACACATTAGAGTTTCACATTAGTAGGGCTGCACATGGGGAAAGAAAGTGAAAGCATGCCTGCTTTATTGTTGTACCAAAGGCAGCATTTCCACTCTACAGGGCCTGGCACGCACGTTTCCCATGAGATACACACACAGCAGTGATGGATTCTACAAGGCTCTAAGTGTGAGAAACACCACACGCTGCATCCCTACCCTATCTCCCTCCTGCGACAATAAGTACCAACATTCATTAACACAAGGCGGGCTGTCAAAAGCTGTGTTGTACATAAAGCAACCTGCTTGACTTTCTTCACCTAGTTACTCCAGCAACTGCTGTGCTGCAGATCCCTTTGAAAAATGGGAACACCTCCCTCTTAACGTCTTCTGGAACACTTAGTTGTGTTCTACAGAAGATAGCTGTGGAAATGGCAGGATGGATTCAGTCTTGCTCATGGTCAGCAGCGGGCAATAAAAATATTCTAACATCTTGAGAACTTCCACCTAGAGTGGATCGGTATGCACAAATCAAAGAGCAATGCCCGTGGCTGTTCTTTTTAACCCTAAAAAGTACATTTGAAACTGAAAAAGTACAAGATCTTTTAAAATACTGTCAGCACCTAGTGCAATTAGCTCAGAGTACCTTCATTTTCTCTTGAGTCACTTTCTCCGACAGCTGTGTAGAAATGTTTCTTAATAACTCCACTACAAATGCAATATTTCCGGATGTGACTTCGGATGACTTCACAGGATTAATGATGCAGGCAAAGTCAACGGGACAGTGCCTTCGGATCCCTTGAGTGACGCTCTCCATGGGCTCTGGAGCTTGCAGGTCAAGAATTTGCAGAGGGATTGAAGCCGACGCTAAGGAAAGGCGTGAAGCAGCGTCTGAATCCTATTCCAAAAAATGCTCGTTGAGAAATGACTGAGTACCATTATCCCAAGTGTCCTGCTTACATACATAAGTACATCTTTTCCCCTTCTTTCTTTTGTCCTTTTTCTCATCTCGGTTTTTTCTTCCCCTTGAACAAATTCTTTCCTTGTCACAGTATCTATTGTATCTTTCAGATATTATTTCAGGTTCTCACACTAGCGAGACAATATGATGTTTGCACATGTGGGTCTGATTTATTTCGCTTACCAATACAGTCTCGAGCTGCATCCATTTATCTATAAAAGCCTCGAATTTATCTTTTTTATAGCTGAGTAATACTCCTTCTGAAAAGAGCAGCTAATAAATTTTCTTTCTTTTTATTCTTATTTTTTCTTTTTAATTTCGTATAACTTTTTTGTTGTTGTTGTTTGTTTGTTTTGTTTTAGGGCTGGGAGATAGCTCAGCAGTCTAAGCAACTGCCCATAAAGCACAAGGACCGGGGTTCAATCCCCAGTACTGCATGCCTGCAATCCCAGCCCTAGGCAGGCTGAGACAGGAGGATCACCATGAGCCCAATCTGTGCAGTGGTAGCCTGTACCAAATAAATAACATAAAAAAAATTTTTAAGTCACCCAGCTGTTTGTTTTGTTTTGTTTTGTTTTATGTATTTAGTACAGGGTCTGTAAGGCCTCACTACACAGTTCAGACTCTAGAGAGCCTTCCTGTTTTTCAGCCTTCAAGTGCTGGGACTACAAGTGCGCCACCATGCCCAGTCTCGATTGCTGTCTCAGGGCACTCAGGGGGCAGGGCCGGCACAGCAGGCCCCAGGATTTGTTTTGTTTTAACCAATTTTGTACATTTATATCTGGTAATGCAAACAACTAATTTGAAGATAACATCGTGCAATGCAGCAAGCAATTTTGTTTTTAAAAAAAAAAAAATTTATTTATGTGTGTGTGTGTGTGTGTGTGTGTGTGTGTGTGTGTGTGTGTCCAGCTCAGCCCACCAGGGGGCGGGGCTGGCTGGCATGTGGTGCTGGGGGATTGAACCGCGGTCCCTGTGCTTCGCTAAGCTTGTTCTAAGTAGGTGCTTTAGACCACTGAGCCATCTCACCAGCCCCCAGCAAGCAATTTTGAATTCCTATTTGTTTAGTGAAATTTTGTATCATCTCTAATTTCCTTTTTTTTTTTTACTATTTTGTATTCTTTAAAAAATAAAAGCTTTTGGGAAATGACTGAGTACCTAGCATGTGTCAGACATAAGGAACTAAGGTCACCAGCAACCCTCGTGGGGACACTCATGGAGAAGCACTGGGTCCTGATGGGGTGGAGGCTCAGGATGGAGAAGCAGAGACATACACAGAGGCCTGGAGGGCAGGAAGTCCACCTGAATGCCCACTGAGGTCAGATCCTAAACTTGCCTACTTCTGTCTGCTCTCGGGACAGTGGCTTCTACACCACACTGTGATGTCTGGTCCACTTTCCAGAGATGTGTGGGAAGAGGAGCGGTCTAGAATTTCAAAGGAGCACCCCTCTTGGGTTTTGCTGGCTCAAACACCAAAGGCCACAGAGCAGCAAGGGTCAAGCTTGAACTCACTAGCTGTATGTTCCTCACTTCCTGACCCTCTCCCCTGGATTCCTCAGGATAGGATCTTGAATAAGACCAACAGTAATTTATCTGCTCTAATGCGTGTCCACACGCCACAGTCACAAGGACATCTTGGCGATTCCCTAGTAAGTGAAGGGCACCATCTGCAATCCCGTCACAAAGCCCCTGCTGACTCTGAGGGAAGCGCAGACATCCATGGGCTTCAACATGATTGGGAGGACAATAGAAAGAAATGGTTGCTAACGGGAACACACGGCTGCTATATACATTTCATAGATGTGAAATAAAAGGTTTTCATTTTAACCAAGATATGTGAAATTTACTGAATTTCCGTTCCTTCTAAATCACACATCTCACCTTTCTTTTGATCAAGGGACTGAAAGCATTAGGAAAAAGATAACCAGTTTAATTTAATTCTAGTATTACTACTGAAAAACAGATCAATACGAGAGGCATACAAATCCACCTTTAAAATTGAAACTTAACCTCTAAGCAGTCATTTGCACTATAAGGTGAATACATTTCAAATCTTTTTATGAGAAAAACATTTGAGAAGGAGAAATAGTGATAGTTGGGAGGAAGGGTCCTGGAAAGTTGGGGTAATGAAAGAACAAGATGCCAAGTTAACCCACTCGGTGGATTTTCCTAATCCACCACCTCATGGGAGATTAGCTGTCATCCAATAATAGGTAAATGCACCACCTTGAAAAGTGTCTCCACAGAAAGGCTCGTACATGTTTCCGTCGACTTTTGCCACTTTTTTTGGTGACACACATAGCCGATTTCTCCACGGAAAGGCTTAGCGCAGGGCTGGCTGCAGCTGGAGGAAGCGACGCACAGCCCCTGGCATTTCTCTGAAAGGAAACAACAGTCAGTGAGAGGCGGGATTAGCATCTTCACACTGTGACAAGGAGTCTCACTCCTTCTGGGATATCAGGTCCCTTCCCAGCAGAGGTGACACTGATCTCAAACCACTGAAAGGAGTTGAAGGTGCCAGGCTGCCTGTGAGGCTGCCATCAGCCCTGTGAGCAGCCTTGCAAGGGCACTGGCTCCTTCGGTGGGGGGGGGGGGGAGGCAGGACACCCTCCTCCCTGTCCCCAGAGGCAGGGATATGGGGGACAGGGGGGGTCCGGAAGCACCCTTGTGTTGCACCACTGGGAGGCCCTGAAGACAGTATAGGCTTGTTGAGAAAATATAATTAACAAGAGCGGTACATGTCTCTGTGCAGAAGGATGTAAGAGGAGCCACCAGATAAAAGAAAGAAAGCTTACATCAACGTTAATTTATTCGCAGATACTCTGGATTCTCATTCGCAGGCATTTAGTTCTATAGTCCCGAGGAACACTGAGTTAGCCATCTCAGAGCCCACGCTCCCGGGAAATGCAAGGCAGACTCCTGCCAGTTTCTATGCACATTTTCATCAACTCATCTATCTACTCAGAACCTGGTTCTAGTTACGTTGCTGTTGAAAGGCAACTGATCTAATCTGCAGCGCTGGTTCCCTTCTATCATACATATTTCCACCATAAAGCACACCACAGCCTTCTTTGCTTTAGGAGCACTGGACAGTACATCAGCACTGTGAGAAGGGGGCATGTTTGATAAGAGAAATCACCCTGGGGAAAAAAGAAAAAATAGACCTGGGAACAGCTCTGTGGGTACACATTGGTAATCTCAACATCTGGGAGGGAGAGGCAAGAGGATCATGAGTTTGAGGCCAGTCTGGGCCACTTAGCAAATTCAAGTCCAATGTGGACTACACAGCAAGACCATGTCTCAAAAAAAAAGCAAAATTGCACAACTGTGGCACTGCAGCAGGAGAACTGGAACAAGCAAGGCATAGCCTAGTCAAGCCCTAGACAGGAACACGTATCTGATGATTTCTGACCATATCTGCACATGACCAATTGAACACTGGGAGGGTTCAATCAGGGCTACACAGAAATGTCCAGGAAGAGAAAAATCTGCAAATATAACATCTATAGATGACAATGGGCTGTAAATGTTCAGAGGAACACAGACTAACTTTCAGGTGTACACAAGATCCGGGCAGTAGTGCTCTATTTATCATTTATCTGAAATTGAGATTGAACCCGGTACCCTATATTTTTATCTGCTACGTAGGACAACTTTAACCAGAGTGCTTTCAGCTTTGTGGGTCACAGGACAAATATACAAACATATGGAAGCAGCCAACGATGATCTGTAGGTGGCAGATAGGACTGTGTCCCCATAAAACTCTACATCTACAAGGACTGGTGTTGGGCCAGATTTGGCCTGGGGGTGAAGACTGGATTAGCAGAAGGGAAGTCTCCTCAAGAATTGCCTTAGGGCCAGGGAGATGGCTCAGTGGAATAAGTGCTTCCCTGGCAAGCGCAAGGGCCTGAGTTCAGTCCCCAGTTCCGCAAAAAAAAAAAAGGAAAAGCAGAGATCTTAGGATACATAACAATTGTCTTTGGGGCTGGGGAGATGGCTCAGTAGAATAAGTGCTTGCCTGGCAAGCGCAAGGGCCTGAGTTCAATCCCCGGTTCCACAAAAAAAAAAAAAAAAAAAAAAAAGAACTGCCTTAGGACAGTGGTGGTGCAGTAGGAGGAGAAGTCTCAGCTTTGAGAAAGCTAATCAGGTGATCGTGGGCTGAGGGCCAACAGTGCACCTGTGCTAGGGCAGGGATGGCTCTGTGCTGTGCTCGTGTGCTAGGGCAGGGATGGCTCTGTGCTGTGCTCGGTTTCTTGGGAAAGGCCATGAGCACTGGTGGGTTTGCCTCTTTCTTGACATCTACCACGTGTCCTGGTTTTCACAACTTAGATACCCAGTATTGCCCTTACTTCCTTTCTTCATGCATTTGGTTGGAATGATGCCACAGTGTCATTCCAAATATTTAATGAGATGGCATCTTGCACATCATTTAGAATAGGCTTGTCATGAAGGTCCAACAAATGTTAGTTGTCTGTCTTTCCTCTTCCCAGTTTCACATCTAGCTTGAGGTATACCTGCCACCAAAATTACGCGTGGCCGTCACTATGCACAGGCCAGCCACCCCTACAATTTGGGTGAGAGCAGAGATTTCATCCTGTTATTACCAAGGATTACCCTTTCTGTTTACCTCTCACTTCTGAAGACGGAAGGGTTTCACACCGCAGTAACCACCACACCTAGCTTCATAGAACTCACAGCACCAGAGTGTTGCTTACATTTAAGCCCGCTCAAAGAGCTTTGAAGAAAAAGTGAATCTTTACCTCTTTCCTGCTCTGTCTCCTATTAGCTGGCTAGCCTTAGCATGTGTATTTATTTTCTTTTGGGTTTGAAAGCGGCCCTTTCTCTACTATTTTAAAACGCACATGACTATTGGCTGGCTTGCTTCACTGTGTATGCCACTGATGGTAAAGAAAAGATTCCTTTTCTTCAAATAAATATGCTTTGATGATGGTTTATTTCATTTGTGAAGAATGAAACTATCCATACTGGTGACTTAGCACAAAAGGAGTACTTGCTGCAAGTTATGCTTCAGTTGAAAAGCCTATGGTCTGGGGACTTGCTAGCAATACCAGTGTCCTTGCTTTCTCGGTCCTGTCCCCAAAGAGATGAAAACCATTTAACAGCCACCTACCTTCTATCTGTCCAGTCTTGGGTTTCCCTGCAGGGCTCTGAGGTTTATCTCCATCCTACAAAACATAAATTCCAAAGAGCTCTTTACCATAGGACTCCTCTCATCTCCACTCAGAGATTTTGCATAAACGTGAGAAGAAAACGTGTGGGAAGGAAGTTGCAGCTGACCCACTGGAAGCCCTGCAGGAACTCACTAGATGAAACAGCAATGGGAGTACAGAGCGCACACTGTCCTCTGATGACAGAGGCTGCCTGCACCCTGAAGGCCATGTTAGTGCAGCAGCTCTTTAGGAAAGTTTTAGGCATCTACAGAGAGCACCAGTATGACACCGGCACCTCCAAGCTGCTCTCTGGCTACATGAACTGTAGGATACAGCGAGTCCAGTCCGCTGGGCACTGTGTTTTCTCAGAAGAAGAAATGGATAGAAACCAGAAATAGTCATTGGTTGCCATAATAAAATCACACATCTTTCATGCATGTCAAAGTGTATAAATATTACCTTTAAAATAGTATAACATGGGGCTGGTGAGATGGCTCAGTGGTCTAAAGCACCTACTTAGAACAAGCTTAGCGAAGCACAGGGACCGCGGTTCAATCCCCCAGCACCGCATGCCAGCCAGCCCTGCCCCCTGGTGGGCTGAGCTGGCCACACACACACACACACACACACACACACACACACACAAATAAATAAATAAATAAAATTTAAAAATAAATAAAATAGTATAACATGAATAAGGTAATGAAGACTTGGGAACTGAACGACTTGTGTAGCTAGTGGCAAGCACAATTAAGATGGGCATCTGAACTACTCCTCCACCAGGTTGATCTCTTCTTACCAGCGGTCCCTCTACATTTCCCTTGTGCACTAAAATGTGATTATTGGGGCCGGTGAGATAGCTCAGCAGACTGAAGTGTCTGCTTAGGCAAGCTTAGGTAAGTGACTACGGTTTGATCCTGGGTACTACATGCCACACCAACCCCACCCCCAGGGAGGACTGAGCCAGCCAGAGTCCAGGTGTAGTGGTGCATGCCTGTAGTCCCAGTGCTGGGGAGGCTAAAAACAGGAGGATCACTATGAGTCCAAGCTGCATAGTGAGACCCTGCCACAACCAAATACATTTTTAAAATAATAATAATAATTTTAAAATGTGATTATTTTGCTAACAATTCTTGGCCCAATCCCTGCCACCTATCAATTTTCTGTTGTTTTTATTTATTTAGAAAGTTATTGTCAACTGTAACGTCACGTAACTCGGTAGTGTCCCAAATTTTCTGATCAAGGAGATTATGGGGCCAAAGAGGAAAGTGATCGATGATGTAGAGTGTGCCTAAAGAGAGTCACATGGAGAGAAAACACTCTCTCAGGCTTTCACAGCGAGCACATTGGCCAAGCAACGGCCGTGACTCATCCACATGGATGACACTGACAAAGGTTCTACAATCTGAGGTACAGGATCTCAGGATAAATCCTGAGGGGATTTCACTGACCTTCTCAGACCCAAAAGCTACAACTCTTGTTGCATAGGTCCTGCTTTACCTTGGTCTTAACCATCCAGCAGAAAAGTATGCAGATGAAATATAGGAAGTAAAGCCATGCTGTTATGTTGAGCTGTAGGGGACTCAGGTTAACAATTTCTGACATTGTCAGTTAAACAGAAGACCCAACACTATTATGGGCTATTGGACTCTTTTAGAATATTTTGCTGAGTTTACACACCTATAATATTCAAATAATGGAACTTAGCAAAAAAAAAAAAAAAAAAAAAGGTATACAGATGAATGTCCATTTTGTATCTGTGTATTCAAAGTGGTTAGGATAGATATATAGTTACATTCTCTTAATGAATAGAATGATTTGTTCCAATGGTATTTGTAAATAAGATCTCAAGTCCGCATCTTGTACAGCAATTAACCACTAAGAAGAATGTATGCACTGTGTTGATTATTGAAACTGTCCTAGCGATTTGATTTGAAACTGTCTCATTGCTATTTGTTTATCAATAAAATTATGAAAAAAAAGAAAATTATTGTCAGCAAGAGTATCGTTGTAGTCATTCAAAATTTTATTGGAAAGGGTGCATTATTTTTCAGAAATCTAAACATCAAAGCACTTCTTACCTAGGAATGGATTAAACTTACTTTAATGTGAATCCTGGATCTAGAGTGGAAACACTCTATGACCAGAAAAAGCACATAACAGCAAATCGTGGTGGCCTGGAACTTCATCTTCACACCCTAGGGTTTTAGCCTGCAATCAAAAAGAAGGCAGAACCAGCTGAAGTTGCAAACCTCACAAAGCTGACCAGGTCTCTAGCAGCTCCTCAGCCACTCCCCAATGAATCAAGAGCACTCACTCTGTCCACACCAAAGCAACCTGAGTGATAGATGCCAGGTCTGCTTCCAACCCAGCTAAGATGCGAAAAAGAAAATCCCTCAACTGTTCACCAGTCTACAGTAGAAGGCAGGAACGGTGGGGAGCAGCAGGGAAACTGTATGTTACATAGATCGACAAAGCATCATTCCTTATCCAGACCTCAAGTTCCTCAATAGTAACATGTATCAAATTTTTCCATTTGCCAATCAGGATTGCAAAGCACACTCTCTGTGTTCATTTATTTAATCCTGAGCAGGGAAATGGGATCACTATCATCACCGCATTCTCAAGAAAACTAGGGCACAGAGTTAAGCAACCACAAGCCCAGTATGTATTTCACTTATACCTGAGTGTGAGCTATATAATTATCCACAACTTGTTTATCCAGCACGTGTAGCCAACAGCAAAAGTCAAAGACAACACAACAGGAGAGAAACCTCACAGTGACAGCAATGTAGCCACTGACTAAACTTTCCTTCAATTTGGAAACTCTACCTTCTTTACCTAGAGGAGATAAACAACTTAGCTTTTGTTTCTACTGTATGTGACCACAGCCTTGTGCCTTAGCCTGGGAATCTATGGAGCACTGGCCCATGGACGACAGAGGTATTTCATGAAAAATCCACCACCCCGACATCCTGCTGCCACAACAAACACAGGCGCACGTAGCCCCAAACTTCTGGTCATTCCTGTAGTCAAGGGACAGCTTCGCCCAGGCTTTACCAAAGTTACTCATTCATCAAAAATACTTTGGGGAATTTAAAGATGCTGCTCCATAAAAATAGATCATTTTGGAGGGAAACACTTCAGTGTACCCTGACTCGGACTGTGTGTGTCCTCACTGGGCACCTGTACCCCCCTGGTCCCTATGCAGGTGTCGAAATCAGACCCTCATGTGCAGACAACGTATTGTCTTGCTTGTTTGAGAACCTGAAAGAGTAAATAAAATCTGAAAGGTACAACAGATAGCCTAGAATGAAAAAGATGAAAGAAAGAAGAGGAAAAGGTACATTTATGTATATATGCAGAATAGTTTGGATAATTGTGCTGCTGATTTCTACTGGTCTATCGAAAGGAGCAGTTAATGCTTCAATTTTTCATTCTTACTTTTTCTTTTCAATTTTTTTATAACTTTCTTTTTGTTGTTGTTTGTTTGTTTTTTTTTTTAACCAATTTTACATGATTACACCTGGTAACCTGAACAACTACTTTGAGGGCAACATCATACAATACAGCAACCACGTTGAATTCCTATTACTTTGTTTAATGAAATTTTGTATCATTTCTAATGTGTCTTGTTTACTATTTTGTATTATTTAAAAAATAATTTTTAAAAGAGGAAATAATTTTTTTAAAAAAAACATGAGAGGGGAAAAAAAAATACGCTTGGGGAGAACGCAGGGAGAGGAGGACAGATTCAGAAATGGAAAACAAACCAGAAGAGAAAACCCAATGCAGAAGGTGTCTGCCTGGGGTCATCGGTGGCGAGGAGGTACCCAGAGAGTCAGGTATGATTTGTAAGCAAACTTCTGGCTTCCACGCCGTTCATCCACTTCCACCACAGTAAGTAACTAAGCCAGCCGGATAACAGCTTCTCAAGACACATAAAAGCAAAGCCTGTCGCAATCCTGCCTTTCCTCATCCACGGCCACTTCTCTCTGAGCACCTTGCAGCAGCCGTTCCCTTGTGTTTTTCACGTAAACTGCGGTCCCGGGCGCTGAGGAAAGCCAGCCTCCTTCCTCTAAACTGGTGACTACGACAGTGAGAAAGTAACTGTGCTTGCTTCCGAGGCCTGAAGGAAAACGCAGCTACACCCGCACAAGCACCTGGGCACGGCAGTCGGCCTCTCCTGCCCCACACTCAGGCCCTAAAAGACAAAGGGGCCACAGCACCAGCGTGGGCGCTCTTAGCTCACTGCCACACCTAGGAGAGCAGGTGAAGCTTCAGGGGCCTCAGCCAGGAGGGAAGCGCCTGCTCCTCTCTCTCTCCCGTGCCCCACAGAAGCACTGGGGAGCGTGCACGTGTGATGAAAGTGGGTGACGCACGGAGCCCCCCATGTGGTGTTCGCAATGTGCAAGGGTTGCTAGACTTTGACACCGTGAGATACCTAGAAACTTCACTAAGTCACTCAGCAGTTCTCCATCCCGGTGTAGCGGACACGCCCTTACTGTTCTAAGGGGTTCTTTGCCTCAAGAAGTTTAGAAGTTCAACAAAGCCACTTAGCAGGGGGCCAGGGTCCTCACTTTGTAAACATCCTGAGCCTGTGCAACAGGAGGGCGCGGACATGGAGTGGGTGGCTCGAGTGCTACACCCGCCGAGGAGGTGGTGGCCGGCTTGCCACATAAGGGAGGAAGACGCTTGCTCTCCCTCTGGCTCTTGGTGCTTTCGCTGTCTTCTGCCGACTTGAACTCTTGCCCCCTTAGCCGTGCCTCCCTGCCTTGGAGCCAGCTAATTATGGCCTGAAACCGCCACAAGCTGTGGGCTTCTTTAATTGTGGGTATCAGGTATTTTGACTCAGCAGCAAGAGAAAAGAAACTAAGACACAATGTTTGCCTCAAAATCATCTTTTAATGAAACCTTTTGCTACCTTATTCTACCAGGTGAATACACAGTTATCCCTTGGCAACCACGAAGCAGCGGTTCCAAGGTGCCCTACAGACACCCAAATCTGCTGATAGTCAAGTCCCTGATGTAAAACAGGCCTGGTGTTTGTTTGAATAGATCCGTGCCTGTCTTCTCCAGACTCTACGCCACCCCTGCACTACTTATGACAACTAAGGCAGGAAAGTGTTTTGTAAATAGCTTGCCCTATTGTTTAGTCAGTGATGATCAAAGTCCTGTGTTTAGTACAGATTGTTTTTTTCCTGAATGTTTCGTTACCTGGTTGGTCAGAACCTTTGTGCAGAAGATCAGGAGATTGGAAATTATAGATGAATTTTGAAATCTGGCAATTTAAGCTGAAAAACTCCCTAATACCCAGCCTGCTGTGAAGTTTCTCCTTGTTAGGCACCCTAGGCCCTGTATGGAAATGGAATATGAGGTCCCACCTAGGTTATATAAGAAATAAAGCCATGCAGGTGGAAAGAAGGAAGGAGGGAAGGAGGAAAGGAAAGAAGGAAGAAAGGAAGGAAAGAAGGAAGGAAGGAAGGAAGGAAGGAAGGAAGGAAGGAAGGAAGGAAGGAGGAAGGAAGAAGAAAGGAAGGAAGGAAGGAAGGAAGGAAGGAAGGAAGGAAGGAAGGAAGGAAGGAAGGAAGGAAGGAAGGAAGGAGCCAAAAAAGAAAGACAAGGAAAGGAAAGGAGAGGAGAGGGGAGGGGAGGGGAGGGGAGGGGAGGGAAGAAATAGAAGCAGAGGAAGGAAAGAACAAGAGGGGGAAATGGAAGGGAAGGAGGAAGGAAGGAGGAGGTAAGTGAAGAGAAGAAATGGGAATAGAAGAGAAAAATGGAAGGGAGGGAGGGAGAGAAGGAGCGAGGGAGTAGGGGAGGCTGCCTGCTGGGGGACTATGTCTGCCACAGGTGTGGGCAGGTCTTGACTGTGCCTGTGTCTGGCGATGCCCCTAAAATCAGAAGTTGGGCCTGCCAGATAGCTCAGTAGACTAAAGCACTTGCTCAGCCAGGCACAGGGACCAGGGTTTGATCCCTAGCATCACATGCCATGCCAGCCCTGCCCCCAGGGTGTGCTGAGATGGCCCACAAGACTGGGTGTGGTGGCGTGCACTTGTAATCCCAGTGCTTGGGAGGCTGAAAACAGGAGGATCACTGAGTCTAATCTGTGTAGTGAGACCCCATAGACCCTGTACTAAATACATTAAAAAAAAAATCAGCAGTCATCAGACACCATGCCCCACACACTCTGCAGACCTGCTGCTCCCAGACCCTGCTCCCCACCTCACCACCCCGGTCTTGCACCTCCAGCTGCCATTCTGAGCACCCTGGCCTCAGAGCTCCCGTCACCCTGCAAGCCCTGGAGCCTTCTCCCATGTGAGCCAGCGGAGGTTGAGGCAGTGACTCAACAGACAGAGGAGCTCAACCGGCCCCAGCGCACCAGCCACAGCTGGCCTTGGGCTGTCCATCTCAAACAGGTGAAGAGATGGGACGGTATAATGAAAGTGAGCCCTCCCACGGGCGGCAGGAAGGCCACCTCCCAGCCTGTCACGGGCTAAGCATTTGCATCACTACCCTCAGCCAGTCCCACATTGGAGGGAAACAAGTCCAGGAAGGTCAGCCAGTGACATTTGCATCTATGCACATTCCATCCCCATCAACCTAATTTCATAACCCTGAAGCCTTGGCTCGCTTGTATCCCCAGGCTGATGGGGACATAGCTAGGGTGTTGGCTGTCACATGCTTCACGTTCATCTAACACCACTTCTCCATTTCCTATGAATGAGGACAAAGGGCTTCAGTGACCCCCCACGCCCACCCTAGCTATGCGGCAGCCACCCTCAGCCACTTGGCTCCAACACACATGCGCCTCTCTCAGCACTGTGCCTCTGCCCTGCTCTGCCACTCACAGGCTACTTCCACATCTTAGGAGAGTTGTTAGGGAGCATGGGATGGCTAAGAACAGGGAGGGAGGGAGCTGGGCCCACTGGAGGTTGACATCCCCAACCTCCCTGAACCCCAGCTAGCCCTGATGCACACAAAAAGTCTTCCAGAAGAGCCTCTGGGTTCAACTCTGGCATTTTTCCCAGAGAGGGGAGAGCTGTCAGTCAGATAGCTCAAGTCATCCTGGCCCTCAGTGAACTCCTGCCATGACAGCTCCATTTATCCCTAATCCATTGTTTGCACTGATCACAGGACTCCACCTGGACCAATCAGCAGGCCTAAATTTCAACCAATCACAGGCCTACAG